GAAATTTGTTTGCCTTGGAAAATATTGCGCCATCCGTGATTGCATCAGATTTTTATCACGTCTAGACACTATTGTCCCGACTGTCAATTAGTTGTCCTACGACCATTGTCTGCGATGGACATTACTTCAAGGAAGCGTAAGAAAATTTGTAACGCTGCACGAACACACTGGCAAGCCTTACCAGTGATCAAATTAAAGTACTAGACTGGCCCGGAAACTCTCTCATGATTTGAATCCAATCGAGAATAAGTGGTCAACTTTGTGGAATGGATATACGAAGTCCTAACCTGCGCACTGGGTTATGTTTCATTGGAAAATACGAAAAAAAAGTAAATAGTAACGAAATTATTCGTTTTGTTTCAATTCATTTGCAAAAGGGTGTATGGCAAAGATGAGGACAACAGTTCGAACAATGTAAATAGTGCAAATAAAAAAAAACAGGTTTTGTTTCGAAAAGAAAGCTTATGTTCAGAATGAAAAAGAGATAGCTAAAATTCATCGGACACGTAATGAGAAAATGAGAAAGGAGGGTTTGGAAAATTTAACCTTCACAAGGAATATTGAGGGCAAGAGAGATAGGGGAATGCAGCGAGCTACTTATCTAACAATCTTGTGTGAATGGATCAAGGGACGGGGGAGAAAAACTGTTATGAGCAACAAGGGATAGGAAGTTTTGGTTATGTCATGAAAAGACACGTCACATAGAAAATGAACCCCTGGATGAGCAGAAAACCTTTGCGAAATTTTAAATCGGGAAGATAAGTCTGGGTTATTTTACTTTATTTTGCTTCTGATTAATGCTTTATCTCTTATTATTGAACATTTTACTTACTAAGGCTTCTTCTATGTGCCGTGTCTCTTCAGGGCTTTAAGTTGCTTAAATAACAAGAGGTACCCTCCCAAAATACAAGGATCGGCGCTTTTTTTTTTTTTATATATATATATATAATATATATATATATATATATATATATATAAAGAACAGTCAGATTTATAATCAGAGTTCTTTAGCATTTATTTTTAAAAAACAGTGCTCGATACACAGTAGAGCATAATATTATAATTATTTTTAAAATATATATCACTCGCGATGAATACATATTTAAATAATTTATTTAAATAATTATTATATATATATATATATATATATATATATATATATATATATATATATATATATATATATGTGTGTGTGTGTGTGTGTGTGTGTGTGTGTGTGTGTGTGTGTGTGTGTGATAAAAGTATAGTTTAAAAGCATGCCATATACGTAGAAGTGCTTAATATCAGTAATAGAGTGTCTGTAAATATAAATGTGGGCAATGAGGTGTGGCTAGTCTTTTTTCATGCTTGAACGCAAGCTTCGGGCCATATATATGTGTGTGTGTGTGTTTTATATATATGTATATTATTTATATATTATATATGCGCTCAATATTGGAAAGCGCTCAACATCAGTGATAGAGCTAACATACTTGTGTGGGTGTGAGTTTGTAACCCTAGGTTTCACGCCTTTGAGGATCGCAACAGCTTTAAACCTTGTTTGATAAACTCACATCCATACAACTAAGTATATATGTATGTATATGTGCGTGTTTGGTTAAATAATTTAGACGTATTATGTTTATTTTAGTTTTAATCCTTTCAAGTCCACGAATTAATTTCTTGCTGGCTGTAGAAAAGTACTCTGTAAAATAAAAACTATTTGAAAAAAAATGGAACTTTTCTTGATCAATTTTCTACAGCTACCAAGAAATTAAATCGTTATCTTGAAAGCATTGAAACTATAATAAATAGACATCATACGTCTAATGTAACTAAACATGCTTGAATGAAAATATGCTGCCTATATATATTATATATATTCATGGAACACATAATGAGGAAAATGACATATTGAAAGCAAGAGAAGCAAAAGGAATCAGTGATTAACGTACTTGGCGAACTTGAGGAAATGGCTGACAAACCAGAGACGAAGATGGATGGTAAAGCGACAAAAGTTACCTAAAGCAAAAAAAGGCAGGAAATTGTATAGAGCTATGGTCGCCCACGCCCTGAAAGAATAGGATATATAAAGAGAAAGGAAATAATTTTTGTCTATATTCAGATGGATTCCAATGCATCTTTCCATTTTATGATTAACGTTTACATAAAAACTCTTGTCGGTTTCAGCAAGTTGAAATATTTTCAAAGCATTATATTTTCACTTTTTTGGGGTGTATTTTTAGATGTTTCATGCTCTTATTCTTCATCATGTTACTCAGCGTGACAAGAAAATCGCCATGTACAATCTGCTTTGAATTAAGAGTTGTCTTTCTATACTGGCTGTCAACCAAGTCTATTCTGCTCTGCTATTAAGCCATAATTGCTTGGTGTGAGAACAGATGGATTCATGTTTCCCCCAGTGTTTCCGAAAGCGAACGTAACGAACTCGGTTGGAATTTGAACTCGACACACCGATTATACCTTTGAAGCTGATAACGCTAAGCCACGTCCACTTTTCTACCTTATGCGCCAGTTGAGATAAACGTTTTTGTTAAGTTCTGAAATGTCTTGGCGTCACTTCTAGCCTTTGTGGCACCATGCATCCTGACGATTTGAAAGAAATATTTATAAATATATGATTTGCTTTTTTACGGTTTATCAACCATTTGATAATTATTTAAGGCCGAAAAATATTTTAGGTTTTAAGAATAATTCTTTCTTTGCATTCAAGCGATTTGGGAGAAAGAAAGAGAAAACGAAGAAGAAAGAAAAAAAATAATACGAGACGGGTCATAGGCGAACACACGCACACACGGCTTAAGAGACGGAAATGAGGAGGAAAAAGGTTATAGTTGATAGGTATCAGATGTCGAAAATATCTAGGTCACCTACGAACAAGCGTTGACCGATTTCCGCTTGTCCACGAAAAATGGAATTTTGTTATCAATGGATGTCACCAAAAGAAGAAATCCATTGTTGAACATTGACGAAACACAGACGGTCTTCCCTGGGTGTAAAGAATTAAATCCCACACAAGAAGTTTTCACTGGCTAAGTTTTTTTTCTTTTGACAGAATAAACTCGTGCCCTGCGATAATAAAGATTTTTTGTTATCAACACATGGGCCGAAAGGAAAATGAAATATTTTTATTTTTGCTTTAGAGACGCCAGGTAGGCTAGGAAAATTTATTTCTTAGATCATGTCCAATTAGCGATAAACTGCCTGACAAACGCCACGTGTTAAAACCGAGGGTTTTCACCTCGGCTGCTCATGATAAGGGCGATTTAATTAATTTTTTTTTTTTTAGTTAAGCAAGGTATTTCTTTCCCAAAACAAAGCCACGGGTTGTTCACGCCGGACTAAGACGTCATTGGCCAAGTGGATCACATGACGCACGAAGGAGGAGGAAAGATACCCGACCAAGACGTCATTGGCCAAGTGGATCACATGACGCACGAAGGAGGAGGAAAGATACCCGACCAAGACGTCATTGGCCAAGTGGATCACATGACGCACGAAGGAGGAGGAAAGATACCCGACCAGGACCTCATTGGCCGAGAGCGGTCACGTGACGCACGAAGAAAATCAGTCGACGCCTCTATCAGAGTGTAAGTGTGAGAAGCCGATACGAAGAAGTGGGGAAGGTAGTGCACGCCCCTCAGAAGCACGGTAAGAGAGTGGGAGTGAGAAAAGAGTTACCAAAAATGGAAAAGAGTGGAAAATCCCTAACCAGAAATAAGAAGGGTGGATACGTATTTAGAATTATCGAAGAACCCCTGGCGCCGACAGACCCACCCCAGTTTTGACGGCGTCAATAAAAACGAAGCCCCACCAGACAGAAATCAGTTCAACCGCGGACGGCAGGCGGAGTTGAGCCGCGGATGGCGGGCAGAGTTCGTCCGCCCCTAGCGGGCAGAAGAGGCCAGTTCGTTTGGCCCTTACGGCAGAGATGAGTGCCCAGTAAGTTTGAGCCCCGGACGGCAGGCAGAGATGAGTGCCCAGTGTTGAAACTGCATCAAGATAGCTGACCAAGATTCACGCACACTTTTGGACTCTTCTTCAACCAAGAACAAGTAGTTTGAAGAGCGACTTAGAATCAGACCACAGAAATAAGTTTTTCGACTTTCGTGCAAAGACACACCGAAACACAAATTTCTTAGAGAGCAGACAACTTGAAGCGTTAAAGTTTGCCTAGCGAAAGCGTCGTGCCACAACCCACAGAACGGGTCGGGAAGTAGACATAGTCCTATGTACCGAACAAATAGACATAAAAAGTTTGTTACCTTTTTCTTTGATACTTCGAACTTTGTGAGTTTTCATTTTTTTTTCTTTTATACATAATTGTGTGTTATCACCCCCGTTGAACTCAGCTTGCATTACGGCCCCAACCCCTGTTTGATCTCGTCTGTCTAAGATCAATTCACAACGTGGGTAGGCAGACTGGAGATCAGTGCAGTTACCCTGGTAACCAGGCGTTCGAAGCAGGTTGGGAACGGCGAGGCTGGTATCAATCTAACCAGATTCCTACCCGAATCACCAAAGGGTTAGAACGTCACGTTTGAAGCAGCGACACCCGGACGGAACAGCGAGGAGCGAACAGCTGACGCCGCGGCGAAGACGTCACAATTGGTGCTGTTTAGGGACGTCACAACTGGCGCCGTGGTAGATCAGGATAGAACGTCACAGTCGGCGCTGCGACCGGGGTCGACGTCACACCTTTTGTATTACACATTAGAATCTATGAAGCTCTATGAGGTTCCAGTTGAGCAGATTAAAATGGAAAAAATAATTCTATATTCTTACCCTCTTAGCCTGAGGAAGACTAAGAAATGTATCAACCGAAACGTTGTATTAAAAGCAATAAAGAATGAAGACGTCTAAAATATATTGATCTCTGACCTGAATATATACGAAAGAAATAAGCATTGTATATTTTATTTACATACGAAAAAAATATGAAATTTATCATTGTCAAGACTAGACACAGATTAAAAGCTTACATACTCATCAGGCTTACTGCTATATCATGTTGAAACACCAGTTTTCGTACGATCACCGAAGTTAAGCAACTTCGAACCTGGTTAGTAGATGGTGAGGGCGCTTGGGAATACCAGGAGCTGTAAGTTTGAATGTGTGGGTGGTGTAATAGATAACGGTTCGAAAATGGAAATGGGAGAGCCGAGTTCGAATCCCAGTCAGGTTCGTTATATTCATCTGCACGTACGGGAATCGATGTTTCAACGTGATGTGGACGTAAGCCTGATTAATATGACTTGTACCAGTAAATCATTATCTCAAATAAAAAAAAATTACAATCTAAAAATATTTTATAGCCTTAACCTGCAAAACGTTGACAGGCCGTAAAAAACAAATCAATCAATCAATACATAGTGAGAAGTCAACAAGCAATCTAGACGAAGTCGTTGCTAGCTGTTGTAACATTAGTCTCAGCCGATATCTTGTTAAATGGAAACATCTGAAAGATGTTACAGAAATTATTTTAGACAGTTATGTCCTGATGATTATCAGCTAAGTGAAGTGGACCTCACAGAACCATGTCAACCGATTTTGAGAAAGAAGGTCACTGAGTGAAACCAGACCTTAGGTTCTTGGTCAGTTACGTTTTTTTAGACAATGATGACAAGACAAAGAAGGCTGCTCTCTATAAGAAAGTGGTCACTAGCGCCGAAAACAGAGAGAGGCAAGAGACTGCTTCGTCGTAACACAAAAAGAAGACGACCGTTAAACTCTTCATCTCTCCTCACTTTGTTTCATTTCTGCCTCGCTCGTCTACAGCAGAAGGTTACAACCGAATGAAATTTGCTTACTGCTACAATCGGCTCATAGTTTTATTTCATGGATGACAATCTGGCCGAAGAGTTATTTTTAAGTCCCTAGGGTTTGACTGAAAGAAGCTTCATCCTGAGAACGAACCTGGTGTCTGGACGGAGCTGCAACGCTACATAACCTTGAGAACTAGTGGATTGAATTCAGATCCTATTCGTTGTTATTAATATTACTTCGGAAAGGCTTTATCCAAACTCCCTTTTGGGCTATCACATTTGCTGTCATATATATATATATATATATATATATATATATATATATATATATATATATATATATATTATTAAAATTAATTGATTTAAAATATGGTTTTTTTCCCGCTACACAGTTCCAACCATGTTTCAAAAAATAGAAGCTAAAAACCCTGAATTTAATTTTGCAATTAAATTAAAAGCATTAGTTCCATTTCATCTTCAAGCGAATTTTGGAGTAACTTTTAAAAATTACCGGGTTTTAAAAGACACAGCTAAAATCACGTAAACCCGGTAATTTTATATCTTACTGTTCTTTCTTTATATATATATATATATATATATATATATATATATAGAGAGAGAGAGAGAGAGAGAAAATGACGCCATCCTCTAGCAAAATGATTGCTCAATACCGTTTTACGTTATAATTTTTTTTAATCATTTGCCTTCAAACGAGAAGATAATGTCGGTAAAACGCAAGGGATTACTCGGAGTGAAAGCCAACGAGAAGATTATACCGAGTAGAAAGGACAATAAAAGAACATAACTCAAGATAGAATATTGTGATTGAAGTTGCATTTAAATTTTTGAAGATTGCGGGTCGCAGAGAAGCAAGAAACAGGAAGAGGCGAGAAGTGCAAATAGGAAACTATGGATTGATTCAGTCATTTTCTACAGTTTATCAACCCTTTTCGTGTTATTTAAAACCAGAAAATATTTTCAGACTTTAAGATTTTTGGGGGGAGATAATAATGATTTAGTGAAACAAGTCTTACGAATTAACCCATAGCTAGGTGGGGAGAAGAGGAGGATTCATACATTTCCCAAGATTATTTGCGCGTAAGTGAATATAACGAACGCAATTGGAATTGGCTCTCTGATTAACAATTCCGAGCCATTATCCATTGTACAATCCGCATATCCTAGTTTACCGCAACCGGTATTCCCAAGCAGCAACCCCGCAAGATACTGACCAGGTTCGAAGTTGCTTAACTTCAACAAAAACATCGAACTAATCCAACAATAAAACGGTGAAACCTAGCTGTTAATCTATTAGTGCGCTTAAATTCACGCGTTTGAGGCACCAAGGGGAGAGTATATTAAAACACCTGCCATGAAAATATTAATCGAAAAGACAGAGTGAAGACACGTGACAGTTGTGGTAAAGTCGAGATGCCACGTCAGGAACGATAAGAGACCCTTGTTTTGAAATTGTCAAGAATCTCGAGATAAATTCTAGGTTCATCATACGAGATATTACAGTAATATTCAATGAACGGACGAATGGCAAATTTAATAAATGTGTAAGATGTTCATATTTTTACAAATAAATTGATATTAGCAGATACTAAGAAATAATTATATTGATATTTTAAGACATTTTTATGTTTATACATTCTTTTTATAGATACAAATATTTAAGTAAATTCTCTGTTTATAATAAACAGTATTAAACAACATTTACCGGCCTGAATGTCCGAGAAATTTTCACAGAAAATATTCATCTTCCGACAGGATTCGAACCTATATCACACACGGAACAGTCATTTAGCCCGACGTGCCTTTAACCGATTTGGCCACAGAAGAGCGTTGGGTTAGCAAGGTCGAATTTACTGTATTTGAACTTCAATCTTCTATGAATCTCTCACGTACATTCATATCTGCTCATGGCGTATCAAATGTAAACAAATGACGTCACACATTATGAAATAGACAAAGTCCGACATTTTAAGACATCTTGATATGATAAATATACGACGTTAATTTCAGCTTATACTATTGGACTTTCATCAGAACTATTTAAAAGTCGTGTGGGACTTTATTATGCAACTCTAGAGTTGTTCATTACAGTGGTAATAAATATCTATATACGGTGACCCAGAATTAACTATTTCAGCGAAAGCGGACAATTTAAATATCTATATACGGTGACCCAGAATGAACTATTTCCCAGCGAAAGTACAATTTAAATATCTATATACGGTGACCCAGAATTTACTATTTCAGCGAAAGCGGACAATTTAAATATCTATATACGGTGACCCAGAATTAACTATTTCAGCGAAAGCGGACAATTTAAATATCTATATACGGTGACCCAGAATTAACTACGGTGACCCAGAATTTACTATTTCAGCGAAAGCGGACAATTTAAATATCTATATACGGTGACCCAGAATTAACTATTTCAGCGAAAGCGGACAATTTAAATATCTATATACGGTGACCCAGAATTAACTATTTCAGTGAAAGCGGGCAATTTAAATATCTATATACGGTGACCCAGAATTAACTATTTCAGTGAAAGCGGACAATTTAAATATCTATATACGGTGACCCAGAATTAACTATTTCAGTGAAAGATCAATAGTTTAACTGAGCTTAAAGATAAATCTTGAAATGCTTCAAAATGTGTTTCGCAACGCTAAGGATATATTTTAAATGTGCAGGGATACTTTCAATAAAGTTTTGACGTAAGAATTATAAATATACAGTGAAATCTCGGTTCTCGAATGTCTCACATGTCGAACAAATCGGTTTTTGAACAGAAAATTCGAAATGAAAATGCCTCGGTTATCAAACAAAATTTCGGTTCTCGAACAACATTGCCGAACCGAGACGAACTGAGTTAACCCGAACGGAATGATTTCTTCGTCGACCGCCATTTTGTATACATTCGTGTGTTGTGCTGTGCTTTTCTTTTCCAATTTTATTGTACTGTGTCTTTTTTTTTCTCTTCGTTAATCCTCAGTCATGGCTCCAAAGAAACCTAGCTGTGATACTGGTAAAGGAAAAAGAAAAGTTAAGAAAAAAAAAAACAACAATTGTTGATGACACAGTCTCTACGATAATGATATTGTCTCTTCCTACTCAGTTTCATATGGCAAAATCAACGATCTATACTATTCTCATAAATAAAGAGACAATCATGTCTTTCTTTCCCTTTTCCAAACAATAACATCTCTTTCCATCTCCTTCGACTTACGCCATCAACTCTCTTATATGCAGGTACGGTAACATTAAAGTGTTCGTCTATATTTTATGTTTAGTATTGGCATTTTTTTCTTAGATTTAATAATTTTCATTAGTTTTATGTATAAACATGTGCACAAAGTACTGTTGTTAAACTTTAAATAAGCAACCATCTTGGGAATGCATTAATCCATTTTACATTGATTCCTATTGGAAAAATAATTTCGGGTTTCAGGAACGAATCAAATTCGTAAACCGAGGTTCCACTGTACTTGTTTTGTTTCATAACTAAGTAATAAACAGAAAATGGTTTCATTTTATTTTTTTTTTTAATTTTCCCGATTTCATTAAGATAGTTAATTCTGGGGTACCCTGTATAATATCATAGTTACTGATATTTATTTTTTCATTTCAGATTTATAAAGATGAGTCGTTGGTTGGTTGTTTTTGCTTAGAGGCATATCAACTTCCCTATGGGTTATTTAATGCCGAAATCTAAATATTTTGTGCTCGATTTTATGGGTTCAACTACAGATATTTTGTACATAATTTTATATTTTCAGGCCAAACGTATGTTTTATAGCTATATAGTTTGTAAATAAAATGTATTGTTGTCAATTTTACTATGAAAATGTATTTTTATACTTTAGTGCTGTATTGTGTCATTTTTCTATAAAAATGAATTACAACTGGTCATTTTTTCTTTTAGAAATATAATGCTGGTATTTTTACCCTAATGTTTTTTGTACTTCATGAACCATTAAACAAAAATCACTATTTTCCCATAGCTGGGATCCTAACAAGTGCTGCCACCTCGGGCTAGGGTGGATGTGAGAACAATAATTAAGATCACAGGCCTTGCTAGCGAACGAAGTTTATCATAACAAAGATAGGTCGTAAGAAAGGTATTATCACAATAAGATATCAACATGCGATACAAAATATTGTAAACTTATTGAATGATGGGAACACAACGTTGGGAATTGAAACAAAAAATTAATTTAGTTAAAATCACGGAAAAGTGGAAATATCTGCAAGAAAAAAACAAAACAATTTCATTTAAGAATGCCACAGTGAGATATTTGATTATTAAGGTAATAAGCAAGAAATATCGATTGGCCAGCGGGAAAATATTTGAAGCTGGTGTTGCAAATATTAAAATATTATATTGCGAATATTCCTCATCCCAATTGTTAATTGGGGCAACGAATGGCTTAACGACTCCAAAACGAAATTGCTCTCTTTTAATCGTCTGAAAGAACCCATTTTGCCTTTGCATGGCTGATGGTACCCTCCCGGAGAGTGTCGTATTGCGCCTTGCCGGCCTAGCGTTGTCCGCTGACATGAAGTGAAAGATTATACTGAATCAATTGCTAGGAAAGTTGGTTTACGATGTCGTGCTAGATAACTTTTCTCTCCAGAATCTATCTTACATATCTATAAGTCTACCGTTCGTTCCTTGCCTTGAATATAGATGCCACATCTGGTCTGGTGCTCCTGTCATATATTTAGAGATTCTTGATAAAATCCAAAGAAGAATCTGCAATGTTAACCGCCGTAATGTAGCTTCCCTTTGCCTTTTCTATAAATAGATTCTATAATTCATGATAATTGTTCTGGGGAACAAACTTTATGAATTTAAGCGCAGTACTAGTTTGGCGGCAAAGTATCATCATTTTACAGTTGAAATGGCAAGATGTAACCGTAAGTTCTATCAGCAGCCACACCAAGTCACTTCCATCAACAGTGATGCCCTTGCCCGGCGACAAAACGAGCAGCAGCAATAGAGACTCGACGATTACAATACGATAATTCATAGAATAATTCTCCCACAAGTCTATCTCACTAGAATACGTACTGATTTTCTCCTAGTGTCTATCTTGATCTTGTTTTATACTACGAACGAACTCTCAGTCTCTCATATATGTCACACCGAAATGAGCAAACGAATGAATCTTCTAAATCACAGGAAATTTATTGATGTAACCGTAAGTTCTATGCTAACAGTTTCTTCTATTGCACTTATTGCTTATAGAACTCTCTTATAGCTTATAGCTTCCCAGTCAACTTTGATCTTTAAAAATTTTAATGCAATTTCAATCGCTATCTTAATTCATGTTCTTTTATTGTTCTCTCTTCCTAATAATGTTTTTCTTATATTCTCTCACACTCCGCAACCTCTTGTTTCTTATTGCTTTGATCAGGTGAAAATTTAAAAAAAGAATATAAACAGGAGAAAAAAAGATACAGAATATTAAGAATATTGTCTAAAGACATTCTGTAGCCTTGTTAGGGCCAGAAATAAAGACACAAAGAGAGAAATTGAGTTAAACAAATATATTAACAGAAACAGTAATACAAACATATACAAACGTGAGTATTACAGTAAGAATGTTCGAACCGACTGTCAGAGGTGACTGCTGGAAACTTCCCTCTTCAAAAGACAGTACCTGCTCCTATTTATAGCTGGGAGAGTCCATGCGTGCATGGGTAAATTACCATAACAAGACATGAATGCAAGAGAACTACCACCTTAAAGTAAACATCGCAAAGAGACATGACTACTCGACAGCAATTTGTCGTGATGAATGTAGAGCTGCTTTGGATGGACGTCGTGGCTGGGCTAGAGATTGGGCCCTTCGTAGAAATAGTCAACCAAAATAACTTACAAGGGGAAGTGGAGAAATGTTTTGAGCTAGTACCATAGGCAAAAAATTTTATAAATTCCTCTAAATTTGAAAATAAAAGTAGAAGATTATAGTAAATTCATGATAAAAGATTTTTCATGTGGTGCAATTATCCTCCTGCGCTGAAAAGCTGATTATTACTCATCTTTTATGTGCCTTGTCCAATAATTTTAAATTTAAAAGCTGTGAGTTTGCTTAGGAATATAGTAGCGTGTTTTTCTGTTACTTTCTCCACTGTGTTTTTATCAAGACACCACTTCTAGTTAGCTGGCTGTCGACTCGTAAAGAGTTCAATTGCCCTTTGATAGGACTTATTTTTCATCCTGCAGGGTTGCAAACAACCTGCCTCACTCGGAAATGGGAGTGGAGGTGCCGGTTTAGTCGCCGACCATCCGACAAAAGCATATATACACAGACATACACACGCACACATATAAGTTTTAAGCACTATTATTATTATTTTTTAACAATTCAAAGTAACTACTGATCTTGACTTTCTCTTACTATAAAAACGTTTCAGGCGCTAATTTAATGGAATTAACCAATAACATTTCCTCATATTAACCTAATGGAAAATTTAGGGTGTAACATTAAAAGATGTAAATGTGAGAATGAAAACAATATTCAAGTAAAAAATATCGCTAGGAAACAATAAATAATTCGGTAACATCAAAATCGAAACAGTAGTAAAGTTAACAAAATCAATGGTTGACAATCTGACGAAATTTATAGAATGTCAAGGAGCAAATATTAACATAATATTAAAATAGGTTATTTAAAAATAATTTATTCTGTTATATAAGATAATGTGCTAATTAAATATATATTTCTGTAGCCTATATAGATTATTTAGATATATTTATAAAAAACTTTGCATAGTAAAACTTACCCTCCCCTCTCAAAAAAACAAGTTATTTTCAACATTTTTAATGAGAACGCACATTAAGCTGAACACGTCAGATCGCACATATGGATATTAATATATTCTGATATTTTCACTGATATTGTTTGGCCAGTAACAATGTTATCGTGAAAACATTCACTTGCATAATAAAAACTGACACGACTTATAAAATATAGACATCATTCATTGCATATATGGAGTTAATACTGTGGATCATGAACAGTTTTATTCACAGGAAATAGAATGTTTTATGTTACTGATTACTTTCTGCTTGAGAGCGAAGGATGATGAATATTTAATAAAACTAATTAAGTCGGTACTGTCAAATTATCATTGCCTATCTGTCGCTCATTTCCGAGATTGTTTCCAAATCAATAAATCTTTTTTCTGATCTGATTATTATCAGAACAAATTTCTACTTTTCCCAAATCGTATCGGATGTTCTCAGATATTGGCAGATTTTCTAAGGTACAGGTTCCATTTGGCGTTTCCTTACAGAAAGGATGGACAAGATCTTGATTGTGGTAAGCTAAAAAAATTGCTTCTTTTATTCAGTTAATTTTCTGAGTTCAATGAAATTCTTAATATATATATATATATATATATATATATATATATATATATATATATATATATATAATTTTTTTATATATCTATAAGTCTATCATTCCTCCATACTTAGAATATTACTGCCACATATGGTCCGGTGCTCCTGCTGTTTACTATGAGCTCCTTCATAAAATCCAAAGAAGAATCAGCAATATTATTTGTACTGATCTGGCGGCTCGGTTTCATTTGCTTTCTCACCACTGTAAGGTTGCCTCTCCGTGTCTTTTCTGTAAATTCTTTCATGGTAATTGTTCGAATGAGCTCTCCGCTATTGTATTTAGACTTTTTGAATTTAAGCATAGTACTAGATTGGCGTCGAGATCTAATTTACAGTTGAGCTAGTTAGATGCAACCATAATTTCTATGCTAACAGTTTCTTTTCTCGCACTTATCGCTTGTGGAACTACCTCCCGGCTCCATGCTTTCCAGCCAACTTTAATCTGCAAAAATTTTAATGCAATGTCAATCGCTATCTACTGTCCTCCTGCTTACTCTTTTCTCTTCCCGCCCATTATTAATGTTTCTTATCCTAATTCGCCCACACCCTGTAACCCCTTGTGTCTTAGTGGATTTATGGCCTTTCATGGGGTGATACCGATTAAAAAAATATATTTATTTTACTATTTCCAGATGGCGTTTTTATTTTGTAATTGTCATTCACATCTTTCTCGTTACCCTGGTAAATGGTTTTAGGTAGGCATTGAAAGTACATCCGTTTCAAGGTGTTTACCGTAGAGTCACGATTGTTAAGCAAACTTAAAGATTGTAAGTGAATTCGATTTCAAAGTAAATCCTCATTATTTACGGCTAAGCTTCGCATAATTAAATATCTGCGTTTTTATCATACATTGATTAGCAGATTAATCTCTCAAAAAGCTAGTGAATTCGATCAGCATTTGAAGAATCACAGATTTTTTGTTTGATTTAATAAATAGATAAGATAAGCTTAGTAAACATCTACAATAGATTTCCATCGAAACATTTTTATTGCAACATTAAAAGCATATTATTTCATCGATATAATGATCGGTGAATATCTGTTGTCAAACAGTTGTTTGGTAATGTATCTCACTGAATTTTCTGAAAACATCATTTGGTGCTCGATCCAGTAAAACTTCATCAATACCTTGTTCTAGGCTATAGTCCTACGGAATAATAACATTGTGGATTAATGCATTGGTTCGGGAATTTGGTGACACAGTAATTTTGAGTTCAATCCTTGAGCTGGACTTAGTAGAAAAGGCAGAGCAATAACTGAGTGGTACTAAAATTAGGATTGGATTAAATAAATATGTTTTTTTCCCGATAAATATATGCATATTTACGATAAAGTTTCATTTACAAATTAAGTACAGTAACAATGGCTTAGTGGGTTAAAGCATTGGTTTGTGAATTTCATGACAGTGATTCTGAGTTTAATCCATGGATTGAACAGTGTGTACCTTCACTGTACAAACGGGTGAGCAATAACTGAACAGTACTAAATTAAAATAAGAACTAGACAATATCCCTAGACATGAGCAGTAGAGCGAGAACAGTCTAACCCCATGTAGCTTAAATAAATGATCTAATTCTGAATTCCATGTAGGTTACCAGATCGATATACACCTGATGAAGACCTGGGGGTACCACGGTCGAAACGTTGTGATAACAACAACAAAGATAAGGAGAATACTCTGAATGTACATAATGATAAAATCCTTATCTTAGAAATTCATCAATATCTATTTATCTACATGAGAGTTTTTTTTAATTTTTTTTGTATATATATATATATATATATATATATATATATATATATATATATATACCAAATAACAATATGTATTTTTATATATCAAGAACAATATTAGGGGAAAATGTATGACAAAGTGTAAAAAAAATTTTCTTGTGTCGCGTTTCGTCTTTGAGTATTACTTCGGACGACAGGACGAAACGCGTCACAAGAAAAATTTTTCCACTTAGTCATACACTTTTCCCCAATATATACTATTTAAAAATACATGTATCGGCGTGCGTGCCTGCAGAAGTATATATTGTATACTTTATATACATATATTCAAAGAGAAAAGAAAATACTCCATAAACCTAACCAACCATAATTAATACCCTAAAAATAGAGAAAATAACTTTACCATTTATGCAAAAAAGTTTCATGCTAGGCACAAACGTTAGGTATGACGATTGCCCCTAGCATGAAGCAATTCACATTCATTTTTTTTTTTCATTCTAGTTGACAGGATAAAATAAACAAGGCTTCTGGAAACAAGTTAATCGATTGGAGCAAACATTTAAAGGAAAAATAAGTGAACACAATACAACCATATTTGAGCTCTTTTTGGGTGCCTCATGATTATGGTTATGTATTGAACAAAAGTAAACTTAAGAAATTTACCCCCCCCACACACACACATATATATTTCTTATTATTACAAGTGTTATATTTAGTGGGTACAGGTGTTTGTGTAAAAACCACTGTCGTTTTTTGCATTTTTTATTAGATAGTTTGCTGGCCTAGAGATCGAAAGTCTTACCAAAACTAATGTGTGCCTCCAACAGGAATTGAAACTATATTCTCTTTTTAATCTCTGGGATATATATGTTTGATCCCTGCCGAGAGGCCGGTAGACACTAATTTCTAAAAAAATATATACTCAAGTACGTGTATCCATTAAATAGGACGTTCATAGTAATAAGAAATAATGTCGGATTAAAAAAAATCTATTAACTGCTTTAATCTAGACACTTGTAGACCAAAAGTTTGGGGCTACACACTTGATTTCAATAAATGGTAAGTTTTATACCGTCTTTGGTTTAATTAACTCTTTCTAAGCTACGATGTTGAAGCTATTTAACCCATTATTTCATGGAGTCCAATTTATTTTTAGAGGATGTTACCTAAAATTTAATATCTACAAGGAAGGTAGATTAGAAAAAAATGTGCTAAAACTTTAAAGAAATGTTATACAGTCATGGGCTAATTTCGATATTATTATTATTATTATTATTGATAAATGATATAACCTTTCAGGAAAAAAAAAAAAAGAGTCCCTCTGGCCTGTAGTGAGTTAGTAAATTCATTTTGAAAAAGGTACGCAACTTTCAAATTCAGAAGCTGTCGCCAATCTTTTAGCCTATAGTTTTATATATATATATATATATATATATATATATATATATGACACACACACGTGCGCGTGATGATTTTTAGATAGAGTACATCTGTGAAAAGGCAAGAACAACAAAGACAAAAGGAAAAATTATCTTAACCGACACGTTTCGTATTCTAAGGGACACATTCGCCTTGATAAAGTTCCTCAGAGGACGAAACACGACGGCTAAGATAAGTTTTCCTTTTGTTTTATATATATATATATATATATATATATATATATAATATATATATATATAAAAACCTAGTGAGCCAGACAAACCTACCCAGGTTTCACCTAAGAGGATCGTCAGGCGAAGCTTTCCCTGACGATCCGCTTAGGTGAAACCTGGGTAGGTTGGCTGGCTCACTAGGTTTATCTAGGTCTGCTCTACGGTTGTATTGAGCTCTTTTAGTTAGTTAGTTGTTTACTCGTGTCGGGTTTTTTTTTTTGGGGGGCTTTAAACCTGTATCTGTGCGATTTTTTTCCACAGACTTTCATGTTTCTAGCTCTTTCTTTTTTTCCTTCGAGATTGATTTGATTATTGGCAAATCAAAAGTTCGAAGGTTTTTCGAAACGAGTATAGTTATATATATATATATATATATATATATATCATTCTTTATTGGTTTTCTTTATAGCGCTATGTTCTTTGCATTTTTTCCTGATATATATATAATAAACTGTTTGCTGTAATGCGATAGTTAGCAAGCATGTATTATAGAGACGTGTAATGAACTCAACTCTGCTGGGTTTACTATCACGCTAGCCTTGTGCCAGGCTAAGAAAATTGAAGTAAATAATAATATACATTAAAACAAATACCAGCGAATATCAGTTATCATAATTATAAAGACGTATTATGTACGACATCCAAATAGGGATATCTACTCTTAAAGTCAGAAAGTGACAGTTGAAATTTTGGGGATACATCATGAAGAAAGAGGGCTTAGAAAATTTAACACTCTCAGGGAATACTGAGGAAAGGCGGTAAATAGCGAACCATCAAGTACCCTACCTAACGGTTTTGTGCGGCAGAGTGGGGACAATGAGAGATTGTGAACGTTGCATAGAGCTACAAAGGACAGGAAGCAGTGGAGAGCCAGGATCGCCCACGACATGACACATAAAAGAAGAAGACTATGCTAATAGTTCATAAAAAGTATCGTTCGAAAGTTATCGTCCATTTCTTTTATTTATTTATTAGTAACCTTTCTCTCCCGGTTCGTTGTATGTTGACTACAACGTACCAGTTATAACGGAGATAACGAGCTGGATAAAGATGAACAAGGGTCCATTTTTAAAAAAAAAAAACAAACTCGTATGCAAAGAGAAAAACATTGTCTTTATAACAGAATTTCAGTATCAGTACATTACAAGGAAAAAAAAAACAACGATAAAAAGAAAGAAACGAGAACCAATCAGACATTGAAGTCTGGTAAATTATCGCTCTGCGTGTCATCAAAAGAGAGCAGAACAATATAATCACATATAAGAATCTATAAAGAACTGGTTGTTCATCAGAAAAATAATTTCACTAGAACATCAGAGTAAAGTTGCAGAAATGGAAGAAAATATCTATTTTCAAAGATGGATAAATAAATCTCCATTAATATATATATATATATATATATATATATATTAGATATCAGTAAAACTGCGAGTACAATTTTATCTGCAGACACCTATCAATGGCATACTAGTATGTCAAGCCATTACGACTGTCGCCATTTTAATTTACATTGTTCTGTATTTATTGCCTTATTCTAAAAGTTTAATATATATCTGTAGATTCCAATCTGACCAATTTTTTTTAACCTTCAGTGTCGTATGAAATTATATAATACTCTTTGAAACTTGAAGCAGAAGTCAATTTCTAAAGTATGTGCAAAAATATCTCTCGTTATTTTTCTTTTCGTTTTTTAAATATTGGTTTTCTATTGTGCATTCAATTTTTCAAACAAAAAATAAAGGGCAACGGCAACTTTTGCGCACAAATAATACGTTAAAATTATGACTGGCGTATTAACGGTTTTCTATAGGTATTCTTGAAGTATTTAATAACTTAATTGTCAACAAGATTCCACATATAAATGTAACGGAATTAACAAACCGACTAAAAATGTCTGTGTGGGGAGAAATAAAAAATAATAATAATGAGTACACATTATTCGTGCGGCTGAGATCTGAATTTTCTAAATTCTAAGCTAAATGTTTTCGAATGCGATTTAAAATCAGTTTCTTTACAACAATAAAATTTTGTTGATAGAAGACACAATCAATTTTTGAACATTTACTTTCTCTATGTACAATAAATACTACTTTGAGAAGTTGCTCACCTGATTGTCGATCGGTCAAAGATGTCGGCAATGATCGTCTGTTCGCGAGACCAATTCGTGACGACGCGAGATCTTATATTTACACAGCTTAATAGAGCACACTGCTGATTTTAGGGGAGAATGGAAATAGGAAGTTTTTCTTATGTCAGTTTTCCGTGTGAGGAGGATCTGATGCTAGAGAAAATCACCATTAACAAATGCTGGCATTGATGGGTGTTGTTCTACGACACGTGATCAGTAGTCAACTTCCCAATTGTTTGGGCTATGCCATAACAGAAATTTTCATTATCGCTTCACAACCTGTAGAAGCTATAAAGAGTTCCGTTATTTTATTTTCTCCCAATCTTGTCTGGTTGTCTTTCAATTTTTTAGTCCTAGCCTGGGCTACAAAACACTGGATCAAAATCTCGACAAATTCTATCGCCGAACCAATTATATCAAACATCTTAACACATGCAATACCAAGAATTCTGAGTTAATTTCCAATACTTTTATGTTTACTAACATTATATATATATATATATATATATATATATATATATATATACACACACGCAAGTTTAATCAATTTCCTCATCCACACCAATCTAGCGAACCTTATTGAATTTCTAATGTTTTTGCTTTACGCATATTATCTTCCGATAAGAATATTACCATAAAATAATCTATGTTGCAGCCTATTTGCGAGCTATCAAAACTGTTTTAAACAATTTTAATTTGTGTTATAGGGTTCTTAAGAAAAGTTGTTTTTTTTTTATTGTTTCAGATAACATCAATGGTTCTTGGTCATTACAATTCCGTCAGTATTTCCAATTACACACTAACAGGTAAGTTTTAGCATTTTATATGTCGTAAGCGCAAACATGCGTATGCACATACAGGTCGTGTACGAAAACTCTCAGCCCAACCAAGAAGCCTTTTACCTAGTTGGTGTGTGTGTGGGGGGGGCGAGGGGAATACGCTGACTGCGTTCCTTGAAAGTGGGTGGGGTAAGATCCCTTCTCCAGCAAAAGGCGGTATATTCCATGTGGATGCTCGCAATCTCAAAAAAACAAACAAACAAAAAAACCATTACCAATGTTTGTCTATAGATTTCAAGTATAATAATAAGAAGAAATACCCGTGAAAATTTCACGGTTTTTCTATTTTAACTTTCTGATGAATCTTAATTCTTAAGGTAATGATTGAATAAGCTCCTTGACAGTTCTACGACTATAAAATACCCGCGGAAATTCCCCTGTTGCCTCACTCAATATTTGCAACAAATTATTATGATAACAGTCAGAAAGATGAAGGAGGGTCATAATTATAGAAGTAAGAGAGTACAAATGAAAATATTAAAAATTGACAAAGTTTTCCATTTCACTGCAGTTAAATCAGTGTTATCGCCCCGTTTATCTTTCATTTTTTCTTTTCCTAAAAATAAAGATGAATAAACATAAATCCTTTCTTCTCTCTATCCTCCTAAATCAAACAGGAGTGGTCCATTGTTTATCTGAAGTAATGACAGGGCTTAACGTACGTGCTAACGAATTAACTGCGCAGGAGTAGTAGTAGTAGTAGTAGTAGTAGTAGTGGCGGTAGTAGTAGTAATAATAATAATAGTAGTAGTAGTAGTAGTTTGTAGTAATAAATAAATAAATAACTCTACAAGGACTGATATGTAATAAAGTACATCAAACTCACCAATCCATGATACATTTCCAAAATAAATAAATTCTGATGTTTGGTAATGTGATCACGTGTTGTGAGGTGGGTCAGACCGAAAAGTTTTCAGCACACATATATCGACAGGATGAGGGCTTAGCAATGGGCTCGCCATTATGACCAGTAATGGCGAATATATACATGGAATACTTTGAGGAAATGGCATTAGAATCTATATCTCGAAAGTCAACTCTATGGTTAAGGTACGTAGATGACACCTTCATACTCTGGCCACACCAGGAAGATGTTCAGGTTCTACTGGACCATATGAACGCAATAAGACCTTCGATACAGTTAACGATGGAGAAAGATAGTAACAGCACACTCTCATTCCTGGATGTTCTAATATCTCGAACAGAACATGGGTTCAAGACATCCGTATACCGTAAGCCGACATTCACCGAACAGTTCCTCAGTTTCAACTCCCACCATCCATACAGCGTAAAGAAAGGGATCGTTCGCTGCTTACAACACCGAGCAAAAGTCATAAGTGACGACCCAGAGACATTAGATAAAGAATTGGTCAGTATAAGTAGTACCCAACAAAGTAACAACTACATGGCAGCAGCCCCAATAAACTGGGATAGGCGGGTACAAGAAGAGGACAACAACACTCAGAAAATAGTCTGCCTGCCTTATGTGAAGGGGTTATCAGAGAAAATACAAAGGATCTGCCGTCCATATAACATCAAAACAACCTTCAAAAGCTGGACGACACTTCGCAGATATATCACCTGAGTAAGACTCCCATAGAGGAGAACATGACTAAAGACTGTGTGTACGCCATCCCGTGCAGCTGCGGAAAGAAATATAAAGAGGAGATAGGCCGCCCCCTTAAGGTAAAGCTTCAAGAACGCCAGAAAGCTTCAACACGAGGGGAAGTGGAAAAATCAGTCGTGGCGGATCATATATAGAGAAAAGTGAGATCACCGCCCTCTGTGGGATTAGGTTGAAATCATAGACAAAGAACATCATTGGAAATTTCGTAAACTTAAGGAATCAGCACATATGCTAGGCCACAAAAATCTACTGAGCCGACGAAGCATAGAAATGAATACAATATGGGAACCAGTAATAAAGAGTGCCAGAGAAAAGCGATAATAACAACGAAAATTGCAATGTGAGCTCTGGGAAATAACATAATATGAGAACAGCAAAAATAGTCCGAATAATGTAAATAGTGTACATAACACTTCATCTCAGAAATATAGACAGATACAGACACGTTTTTGTCTAAACATTTTTTCTTTTGTGGCATACTTGTTTTCCAAGAGCATTAGTGGTATTTTTTTTTCTATAAAATTGTTAATATTTCCAATTACCAGCATTTTATAATGAGTTCTCCCTAGAAAAAAAAAATGAACTCTCCGATGACGAGAAGGATTTCGCTTAAAGGAACGATTCAACCTTGCTTGATAGGTAAAAGTCATTCGTGGCAGAGTCGATATACGCACGTTGTATCTAATGACCGTTTCTTCTGCCAAGGGAGAAGCGGGTTCGAATCCTGCCGGAGGGCGCATATTTTTATTTAATAAGATTTCTCGAATATTCAGACCGGTAGACGAAAATAAATAAATATACCATTTAATAAATAAACTGAGCATCTACTCAAATATGAATATCCACCAAAATAACGTTTAAAGTGATAAAATGTGTGTGTGTGTGAGAGTGTGTGTGTGTATATATATTTCGCCTATCGATCATTTCTCTTATCGTCCAGTAACACTCCTTCACGGTCTTCTGAATATATATATAGTCAAACCTAGAGACCCAGACAAACCTACCAAGGTTTCACCTAAACGGATCGTCAGGGAAAGCTGGCCTGCTTTCCCCTGACGATCCGTTTAGGTGAAACCTTGGTAGGTTTGTCTGGGTCTCTAGGTTTGACTAGGTCTACTCTACTTTTGTATTGAGCACTTTTTTAGTTAGTTGATTACTCGTATCGGGTTTTTTTTTTCTTTGAGCTTTGGACCTGTATGCTGTACGATTATTTTCGACAGACGTTCATGTTCTTAGCTCTTTCTTTTTTAAGACCTTTTTTTCCTTCGAAATTGATTTGACCATTAGCAAATCAAGAAACCGAAGGTTTTCTGAGACGAGTGTAGTTACCTATATATATATATATATATATATATATATATATATATATATATTAACACATGCACATTAGAAAACGTTTACAAATTTAAATTGTTTCAATCTTATGAAATGAGTTGTAGAAAAGAATTTTCATGTAAATTTCTGTTTAATTTTTTATTGGTCACTAGGGCTGCTTCCGAGTTCTTTTATTGCCATATTTGAAGAAGAAGAAACAACGACTATCTCAGGATGACTACGTGGAGGTCAACAGTTTTATTCTCTTAGCTTGTTAGGACTGCATGCTTCCAAAGTGACCAAGAGATTCCTGTGCGTGATTTGAAGAAGACGTAGAAGAGTGAATCAACAGATAAACGGCTAAGAAGACGTGATATCTACCATAAAGAAGAGGAAGCTGAGGTGGTATGGCTATGTAACTAGATTGAGAGTATTCTCTAAGACCATTCTACAACGAGTAAGAGGCTCACGCCAAAGAAAGAGAGTTTTGCGCTGACCAATGATTAAATATTGGTTAAGGTTCTTCTAGGTTATATAATATATATATATATATATATATATATATATATATATATATATATATATATATATATATATATATATATATATATATATATATATATATATATATATACATGCATTTATATATATATATATATATTATATATATATATATATATATATATATATATATATATATATATATATATATATATATATATATATATATATATATATATATATATATATATATATATATATATATATATATATATATATATATATATATATGTAGAATCGAGACTTTTATCATACAGTCTCAGTTACGCTGCACTGGTCATGTCTTGAGAATGTCTGATGACAGGATACCCAAGATCCTAATGTACAGCCAGTTAGATCAGGGCTACAGGAATGTAGGACACCCATAGCTGAGATACAAAGACAAGCTGAAAAGCAACTTGTCAGCAGTTAATATACCACATAACACCCTTGAGCGCTTAGCTTTGGAGAGGGTAGAATGGAGATCAACGTGTTTTAGTAGATTCAGCAATTTTCCATCTGCTTGTCTGAATCATCTTCAAGAAGCGAGAGAAAGATCTAAAAGGTCAGCCAATCTAACAGTGATCTCATCTCATAATTTTCACACCTGCTCCATATATGGCCTCCTTTGTAAATCACTAGCGGGTCTTAAATGCCACTTAAGATTATCGCATAAACTTTCATAACTGAATCAATAAGCTGGCAGAGTCCATTATATATATATATATATATATATATATATATATATATATATATATATATATATATATGCATGCATTTATATATATATATACATATATATGCAGGAATATAGTTTTAAAGCGTGATATATTTATGGGATAAACTGCTCAATATCAAAGATAGAGCGTATGTAAATATAAATATACCCTTGTTAACTTTATATTTATATATTTTGAGAAATTGGTAAATGTTAATTTTTAATTTACGTAGTGTGTTAATTTTATTAATCATTTGATTTTGATTTTCAGACTGCATGACTGATATTGAAATTTTTACGAACGTTGCTTTTTCAAACCCTTCAAATGTCGCATCTACAAATTTTACAATATGTCAAACGACGTGTCTTCAAGAAAACACCTGCATTGCTTTTTATTATGATACCGGAACATGTCAGCATTACAGCAATTTGTCCAGAATGATCGACTATCAAACAGGAAATGTTTATTTTAAATGCCTTGGTAAGTTTTGTCAATTATACTATATTATGTAATTCATGTTCTTAAGTAGCCTGGTTAAATTTAGGTATGTGTACGGATGTCATACATGGCATCCAACTCATTCAGAAATGTCTAAATCATCAATAGGAATAGATCATTTCGCCTATCGTCCAGTTAACACTCCTTCCCGGTCTTCTGAACAGAAGCAGAGGTTTAAGACTTGTTTCCTGTTTAGAAATGGGTTTCCGAATCCTTCTAAAGTTTTTTTCATCCTTTTTCATTTCCCTTGCGTCTTAGTGGCATTGTCGCCTTACTTGGGGTTAATTAATTAAAGAAAATACACCGTTTTATCTGATCAGTGATTAAAACTGAATTAAAAGTGAATGAATCTTTCAGGTTGTAAAGAAGACAAACCTTCATCAAGCCCTACAGACTCGCACTACAGAACCACACAGAGGTTTACCAAATAAAAAAATAAACATTATTTAAGGACTTTCAAAAGCAACAACTAAAATTGCTGGCACATATAACTAGACAGGAAAATGATATATTCAATATTTTGACTTTCCACACAACATTAAACAAAAGGTTATGAAGGAATTTCTCATTAGTACTAGTAAGAGAGATTGCTGTTATTGGGCTTGAGAAGTCTAATTTCATGAAATACTGATTTAATAAATATATTTGATAAATTTCAACCGACAGTATCGCTAAATGAATACCGAATGTTTGCTGTATGGGAACGGTTAATTATAACATTACAGTTACCATCAACCTACTTGATTTGTTAGGAATTTTATCCATAATAGTTTACTCACTGCGGTTCAGTCGAGGCATTCTGCTGAAGGTGAAAGAATGCATCGGCCGAATCGGTTTTAACGTCTCAAATTTTAAGCGAAATTTCAATATGAAGTCTCACCTCAAGTGTAACATAATAATAGCTTATTATCCACTATATCTCAAAGTGAAGGACAACGTTGAATTTAATTCGGAGCAAACGACTACTCGCTTTTGTTTTTTACTTCAGCAATCGTAAAATCGTCGTGCTTTGTTAGATTTCAATTCCTAAATTCTAGACATTCTTTGTACCGAAGCTTTGTCGTTTTGTCTTGCAGACATGCAAGTTCCATCCTAAGCGTCAATGTATGAACGGTGCCGTGGAAGTTTAGCAAACACAGTTTAATAATTCCAAAGTTGTAAAAAATAAATATCCACAGAATACGTATTTTCTCAGAGAAGAAAATCAACGAAAAATTTACTCGAAAATTTAACAAACATGAACAGCGATATTTGCGAGAGCAATTTAACTCTGTTTAATTCCGAAAGATCAGCTGAAGCGAGAGAAAGGTGTCGGGTCAATTAAGACCAGGTACGAACTACTGTAACTTATATTTTGAACTAGCAGCATGGCCCGGCGTTGCCCGTGCTTGATTCAAAGATCGTACGACTCATACAGCAATCACTACCATTTGACTTAAAATATTTTTGCCCTTCCTTGCCTTTAAAGGAGTGCCCTTTGCCGTGCTGATGTTGCTACATGCCTTACTTCTTGCCTATCTCACACTGCGAATTTTTTCTAAGCTCTATACCAGACATTAAATCTGTTACGAAAAAAGAACTAAACAAAATGAACACTAAACGATCAGCTTTAAAAAAGGACTCGTAACTGGAAAAACCGAATGAAAAAAGAATAAATACTTTTTCACACCCAACCCAGTTCTGCGGAATCAGAATCAACGTTGAGTTTAAGCAAGCGAATGAGCCAATCGGAGTAAAGTGCCATGCAGATTTAAATTTTTCCCCACTTGTGACGAATGCAGCTATCGATTTTTTTTGCATGCTAGTTAACATTCGCGTCAGTCAGCTGTTGGCTCTCACACTGGCCAATAGAATCTTCCTGCCTATTCGTGGCAGCCAGCTATAGGCTCTCACTCTGGCCAGTAGAAAATGGCTGCAAACTACATGAATACTGCCGTAGAAGCATGAAAAAATCGATTATTTCCACTATCGATAGGAGTTGGGAAATACAAAGTCAGTTTTGGCCTTCCCGCTAACTTGGAGCATGTGCTTGTACATTTTGGTGCAAATCCGTCGAAAATTGCGTCCGTGCATTCATTCACACACACACACACACACACACACACACACACACACACACACACACACACACACACACACACACACACACACATCCTGCCTTTTATAGATAGAGATTCCACTCGAATTCTTTACATTCACTTACGTGCTAACACCCCTGAGAATGGTATGAATCTTCTTCTCCCCCCAGCTATGGGTAAATAGCAGGACAGACCGGGGTATATATATATATATATATATATATATATATATATATATATATATTATATATTTTAGTTGTTTGCTATTGATGTCGTTTCTGTTATTTTGTAAAGCTCTTTTTTTATGATTCTGTACACAAGGTTCGTAGAAGTATGGTCTCTCGCTCAGACCTACAGGTTTCATTCGCGCGAAGCGTTTTTTTTAGCTATTGATCTGAGAAAGCGGTTGTATGCAGCTGATAGTTTAGATATTTCTGAACGGATTTGGAGCCATCCAGGCATCCATATGAAAATCCCGATCTGACTAGTCTATTTAAGAACCTGACTAGAGTTTTTAGGTGAATAAATTAGTTTTGGAGGCGCGGTGGAGTAATGGATAGTGGCTCATATTGAGGAATCGAAGAGCCGATTTCGAATTCCAATCGAATCCATTACATTATTTATGTTGGGGAAAAGGTATGAATCATCTTCTTCTCTTCCCAGCTGTGAGTAAATAGCAGGACAGGCCGGGTTCTAAAGCCTTGGATGGCAACTGATTTACCGCAGAAAGAAATGGCAACCTACTGCCGGAAAAAAGATCTGCCTCGTCAGTTATGTATCGAAAGATACATGATCGCCTAAGCGTGTATCACGCATGGCACATAACTGACTGATTAGTTTTGTAGCAATTTGTGGTGTTAGGCGAAACTACCTCTCGCGCAGGCTATTTTATGCTCAATTTCCTTAAATCCTATGCTAATCCTCTATCTATAAAAGGCAGGATGTGTGTGTGTGTGTGTGACGAATGCACGGCCGCAATTTTCGACGGATTTGCACCTTTAAAGGCAAGGAAGGGCAAAAATATTTTAAGTCAAGTGATGGCGATTGCTGTATGAGTCGAACGATTTTTGAATCAAACACGGGCAACGCCGGCTCATGCTGCTAGTTTGTTATAAGTGAGCATGAAGATTTTGTCAAAAAATTCCGGAAACCTTTATCATTTAGTATCATTTTTGTATTATATCTAAATATCATTTTACTGGACTGCAGTTAAATATTGTGCTTGGGAAAATGCACAATGTTATTTTGGTCTTGTCTCGTCTCACCATCTCACCTAACTAGGTATTGCGACATATCAGTACAGAAGGACATCAACATATCGAGATCTTCTGTTAGTATAAGTAGAGAGATTGTATCTATTGCCAGCTTACTAGGCCTGCCGCGTAGCTTACGGCACTTAGTATTCACAAACGGTCACCCTTCTACCAACAGCAGCAACACCTAGAATGGATAGTATATGTAAGTCGGAAAGAAAATAATGACATAATCAAGATGTTAACATTCCACACCATTTCAAATAGAAGTTTTGGAAGAACCCCCCCCCCCCATCAATACTAGAAAGAGTGGTTAATGCTAACTGCACTTGAGAAACCTGTTTTACTAAAAAAAGCGTTTTAAGAAAAAGATTTTAGAAATTTCAATCAACAGCAACATTCACTGCTCAGTCAATGAATGCCAAATGTCTCCTTATAGAAAAATGGTTAATATTAACATTACCATCTGAGTATTGATCAGGTTCAACATTGCATAAGTTCGGTGATTTGCTCCTCTGGAAATATTGCAGGTGAAAATTTCCTCATTTTCATTTGTTTTTTTTTTTTTTTTTGTTTTTTTTTTTTACAGCGTGTGAAGTTGGTTGGTATTATTACCAAGGAATGTGTTATGGAATTTTCCCAAATTGCTCCAATATTGGCGCAGCTTCAGCCAGATTTTACGGTTTGGATACTACCCTTATTCATGTTGTAGACAAGTAAGTGATTGATTCTTGATATTGTGTGAAATCAAGTAAATAATTCTAATATGCGAGGCTGACTATGAGTGATGGTAACATTGTTAAAATCTTGCATGCATTAATTTCAAATCTTATTAATAGCAGCACTGCTTTTTCCATGTAAATTGACATCTGACTGTTCAGAAAAAACTTCAAAAGTAACTAGTAGCGACTTCTCTTGAAGTCGCTACTAGTTACTCTCCAAGGAAATTGATATTGACATTGTTACTACATTAGGGGATGACGTTCCAGCTTTATCAACAGTGAAAAAGTGGGTAGGTGAATTTGAAGGGGGAAAGGAGAGTCTTGAAAATGACCCAAGATTTTGACGCCCTGCAACTGCCACCATCAAGGAAAACATGGATACATTCATGTTCACTTGAACAGTTAAATGTCAGTTGGAAAGAAACAATGCTGTTATTAATAGGAAGAGTCGAAATTAATGCATGCAAGATTTCACAACTTTAATCAGCCTGTGAACTTTTCAGTCCACCCAAGTATAATTAGTAAAAAAAGACATTTCAATGTAACTAAACGAATAGAACTGGAAGAATTCTTGAATAAAGTATAAAATATCGTATTTTGTAATACTTCTTGTTTAATTATGTTTATCTTTTCTGAAAAAAAAAAGACAAACGGAAAATTTATCTCAGCTTCGTTTCGTCCTCTGAGGAACTTTATCAACGCAAATTTAGCTGGCTAAGGCACACTGACATTAATCGTGGAGTTGCTTAATATTTAATCAAATTTGACAAGAGTTGCTTATAAACGAGTTCCCCATTAAAAAATAAATCGTGTATTATTAGGTTGGTGCAAAAATAATGTTTTTTGACGTTAAGTTGAACGTCAAAAAACGACATTATTTTTTCACCAACCTAATACTTTATCTGTGCACTGTATCTCTTCAGGACGTTGGCGATTATGGCTCTCCACAACTTTTTATCATTTATAGCTCTTAATAACGTTTGTCGTTACATCATAACTTCTAGTCTCTGTTCAGTCATCCATTCTCATAAGTTTTTTTTAGGTAGGCTACTTTCTGTTTCCCTTTGTCTCTCTTGCTTTCAATATGTCATGTGAGTATGCATTTCTCCAATCCTTCTTTCCTCATTATCTGTCCTAGAAAGTTCGGCTGTCTATTTCTAAGTGTCCTTTTTGTTCCTATTTTCCTTAAAACTTCTTTATGCTCCATTTCTTTGTGTGTATGTATATTATATATGTATATTATGGACGTGTGGCCGAGTGGTTAGAACGTTCGCATTCTGACCATAAGACCCGGGTTCGAATCTCACCATGAACCCTTCCTGATGTTATCGGATTGGAGGGGTCGATCCCAGCGTTCGGCACAGTTGGAAAGTGCCTGAAAACCATACCACGGGTTGACCCAAGACTTGTGAGTGAAATTGGGTGGACGGAATCCTTGGGGGCCATCGATAGCTGTGCTAGCACAAAGTCACAAGTCATCGTGACCGAGAGGGTTTGAGCGTGTTGGCTTTGTTCAAATTGTTGGTCACGCTAGATAACACACTCTTTCCTAGAAACTGTAACTAAGGTCTGCTCAGGTGGGCTCTGTGGGTGTTGAATAAACACAAATACGCCCTAGTAGACAGGTATCCTCGAATACAAGTGGCCAGCTATACATCATTTCTTAGTATCTTTCTGTAAAACTACGAAATCACGTGTTACTTTGAATAAAAATGTGTTTATAATATTAAAATGAAAATTTTTCATTACATTAATTATTTTTTCTGGTTACAGAATAAAGAAACCGTTTTATATCAGGGAAGTCATAAATCGCCATGGAGTGTGGATTTTTGAGACTTACAACATAACTTTTGCCTTTGTATTAGGCTCAGGTAAGTATAATGCAACCACAATGTAATTAATAATAATTAATTACGCTAAACTTTATATCATTCTGATAATGTATGATAATGATTGATATATACAATATTCAATTATGGTGTGCAGAAGAAATGTACTTACCTTCAAAAAGGCCAATTTTTCGATGCAATTGTCTCAAAGATAGAAAGGAAAAAAAACGGAACACTCATTCTATCGTTTATAACAGAAAACGTTTGATGAAATAACCTGGATATGCTGCCTACGGATTAGCGTACCTGCCTTCGAACGCATATAAAGTCAGTGGCAGTGATCATGTGGCAGTGATCATGTGGCAGTGAACATGTGGCAGTGAACATGTGGCAGTGACCATGTGACGAGGGGAAGAAAGCCGATGGCGGGAAGAGTGGATTTGCGGCTGTGTGAATTTGTAACAGTTCACTTTATTTCCACTACAGGTAAAAAGACAAAATTTATTAAGAGCTAAAAAGGACATGGAATTTTTGGAGAGCTATGATCGCCAATGTCCTGAATGGATACGGCACATAGAGGAAGAATGAATACAGCAATCCATTTTCAAGAATTTCTTAGATATTCGTTTAAATGAGTAAGAAGTGTCTTTCAGCAAGATACTTTAATGTCTGTTCACTAGTGCTAGCCACATTTGCTTGCAACTTTTGACACACCAATTCCAAATAACGGCACTAGGACTCTGCGGCGATGATTAACTAAACTGTAGGAGGTTGTATTAGTAATGCTAATATTAGTCGTTTCCTTGTAAAGAAACACTTGACGTTCATTGACTCCGCAGCCAGTGCTACTGTCAGTTGAAATTTATGAAATATTTCTATTAAAACAATTTTTTAAAAAATAGATAACTAGCTGATATCGATTTTTTCATCATTGATGCGAGTTTCCTTCCTAACCTTTTGTTTGAAGTAGTGTGGAACGTCAACATCTAGATTATATCATTTTCTCTTCCAGTTACATGTGATATCCATTTTAGTTGCTTCTGTTGTTGTTGTCCTCAACTGACGTGGATTCTTTTATTTGTCACAGTTCTTTATTTGTGATTCTGTAGCGCCAGTCCGCAAAGTTCAAAGAAGAATGGTCCTTGCAAAGAATACAGGCTACATTCGCTTGAAGCTATTTTTAAAAATAGATCTTAGAAAGCGGTTGTATAAAACTGATAGTTTCGATATTTCTGAACGGGTCTGACGTCATGACATCTATATGAAAGTTTCAATCTGACGAATCAATTTAAGAACATGACCGGAAGTTTTAGGTTAAAGATTAAGCTATTAAAACATTACTAAACGGTCGTGTGAGGATTTGATTTTGGTAAAGCTGAGTTGGGTGAGCGAGTTTGTCGAACCAAATAAAGCTACATTGCCCGGATGTTTGCTTTTGGATGAATTTCAGCGGCTGCGCAATGACCCTGTTTAAACTCCTGTGGCATAATGAGACGAAAACATTATTTATACATCTTTGTTACGATACCCTATGAGAAAATTTAAAATAAAAGTAATTAAAAAATCAAACAACGTTCGAAACAGTCCAATGGTGATTTTCTAAGCGTAGCTTAGGTGTGGCATAAGGCCGAAAGCATGGGACACTCAGTGTGAATCGAACTCACTAGTAATTGATCTAGCGAGACAAGGTCGTTAACCATTACACTACGTAGCTTAGATGTGGAAGTACGGTGGAGTAATGGATAGCGGCTCGGATTGAAGAATCGGCGAGCCGAGGTAGAATTCCAGTCGTATCCATTACATTCAATTACATACTAATACCCTTGGGAAAGGTATGAATCCTCTTCTTCTCCCCCCAAACTAGCAGGACAGACCGGGTTCTATAGCCTTGGATGACAAACTGAACAACCGGGTTCTATAGCCTTGGATGACAACCGCAGAAAGAAATGACAACCTACTGCGGGAAAAAAATCTGCCTCGTCAGTCATGTAGCGATAAGCGCGTATCACGCATGGCACATAACTGATTGAGCTTAGATCTGACACAAGGCCGAAAGTGTTGAGCAACCTGTGACTACAAATATCAGTTTTATACAACCGCTTCAACATTCTCATCACTATGTTGATCTAGCTTGCTGACCATTACACCACGTCGAAGTTTCTCATCATCATTCGTCCCATGACCGGTTGTGGACATAGGGTCGATGCGCAAATAAACTACTGACCAGCTCCTTCCAAATACCTCGCCTGTGTGTCAATATCTGCGCTCAATATCAAAGAGTTATTCATTCATGCGTAACCTATTTGGGGAAGTAAACCTTGTCGAACCCGTCCCTTTCCAGGTTAAACCAACGACGACATTCTCCGAATTTAAGTCTCAGACATATGGCCATTGATTCAAACAGGAAGAAACAAAGCTTTAAAATTATAAAGAGTTGCTCTTCTGTAAAAAAAAACAAAAAAAAAACACAAGCGCCAGCAAGATTATTTTTTTTTTAATTTTACCCCCCTCCACCTCGACCTAGTGATTCTTTGGTACGGTATGTTTATTATTGTTTAGATAATTTTTTCCATGCCACATTTATACATTTATTTAGTTCCAGAAAAAAAAATCAAGCGGCACGTTTATTTTAACCGGCACGTTTAATATTATGTTGAAAAATTCCCACTGGCCTGACTATTTCATAGTGCACTTGAATTTGTTACAAAGAACATACAAATACCCTCTTCTTACCCCCTCGAGATATGGGTTAAATAGCCGGCCACACTTGGCTCTCTAGTCTTGGTTGGTAACCAGTCTAGGAGAATGACAACTCTCAATTCAAAATCGGTTGGGCGTAGAGCCAGCAACTCCACTCCCGCAAAATTTGTTAGTGAAATCACAGCTGCAACACTGGACGTGGTGAGAGTCTGGTCCTATGCGCCACAGTTTCAGCCGCACATGTAACATTATCTGAATGTTTCCGTCAATAGCGAAATTATATTCCCAACCTTGAAACACCGTCTTATTTCAGACAATACCTTTATCCGATGTATAACACTTTAAATTAATAATATATTAAATTTAAGCTGCTATCGTCGATTTCATGGAGTAAAACTTCGGACACCTAAACAGACTGATCCCGAACACCGTTAAGAATCTAAGAATAACAGGCGTTAATATTAATGAATATTTCATATATTGCGCCCCATTGTTCGTAGTTTCGTTCTCCGCGGCCAACTCCAGAAATAATTCATACGTTTTACTTAATAATAATAGACCTAAAGCGCACCAGTAGGATTACAGACAATTCGGATTACAGACAATTCGGATATGACAAAGAGAAGTCGTAAAGTGCCTTCTATTCACGTAAAAGTGGAACGTGTCAACTTAATCAGGTAAGAAAAATAATTCGGATGCTGTTGTTACTAATTTCTACGTTAAAAACGATTCTTCTATCAAATAACTTATATAAATAATATGCCAATCTATTTGTTACGCTAAAAAAAAATGACCGAAGTATTTAAGCGGTTTTTGCAATTGTAGTTGGTATATATGTATATTCTTGGTGATGGGGCACTTCGACGTGGCGTAATGGTTAACAAACTTATCTCGCTAGATCAATTACAGCTGAAAAATGAGTTCTATCCACACAGGGTTCACCGTACTTTCGGACTTGTGCCACAATTAAGCTACGCCTGAGTAAATCCCCATATTTTCTAAGTGATAGGCACTTTGATGTGGTGTAATGGTTTGCAAGCTACCATCATTAGATCATGTATATCTGAGTAGTGATTTCAATCCTCACTGGGAACGCCATACTTTCTATCTTGAACCACATCTAAGCTACGCAAAGTAAATCGCTATATTTTCTAGGTGAGTAACTTAACAAATTTATTGACGCATAGACAAAATAATTCTGCTTTTTAAACGATTAAAAGTAAAAATAACAAAAAACGTTTTAAATGAATAAATGCAAAATAAAAAGAAAATCAAAGATCTCCCCTTCATAATAATAGAATATTAATTGGTTATGGCAACACGATGTAGTTTTGCTTATTAGCATTATGTTATCAAAACAGCAGAACATCTTTATTACTGAGAAAAGGAAAACAGTTTGTGTGGCCGATGAATATATAAAGTCATATTCTTTTATATTACTAAACAGATTTGTCATATCTCTATTTTATTATTATATAGTTATTAATCTGATATTATGTCCACTACTTATATTCGGACTATTGTAATCATCTTTGTTGCTGTTATCACAACGTTTCGGCAGTTGTACCCTCCGTGCATATCGATCTGGGTAACTTACAGTGAATTCTGAACTGAGCCTTTTATTTAATCTACAGGGGTAAAATGTTCTCCATCCACTATTCATGTCTAGTTTTTATTTAGTAATGTTCAGTTATTTCTCGCCAGTTTTCACTGAGCCCAAGTACACACTGCTTGGTCCATGGATTAGAACTCGCAACCACTATGTCACCAAATTTCACACACCAACGATTTACCCACTAGGCCATTGTCTGTCATTGTACCCAATTTGTAGATGAAACTTATAATAATAATTTGTCAATGTATTTATCAGGAAAAACATATATAGTTCGGTATCATTCGTGTTTTCAGATATCCGCTGATAGGGAGTTCTTGGAACAACACCTGCGGATAAGGGAAAACTATTGTAGTCTTATTTGACTGTTGCAATATTAAAACGACGGATATTCCTTTCGTTCACAGGAGAAAAGTGTGTGTATGCCAACCAAGCTATGCCTTTGTTAAATGCCAACTGTTCCTTAGGATTGGACGAAATATGTGAAAAGGAAGGTAATACAATTATTTTACAAGCATATAAATGTATAATTCTCTATAATCCCTGCTTAATGTCCAAACTACTTTTACTTGCAAAAGATCGTTCTTTTTAAAAAAATACTATATTGGTTGTACTACTGGTGAAGACAGGACAGTGTAACACCGATTTACACAACGTTGGTGTGCAACTTAATCAAAATAAAAACGATTCTTAGGAAATCTTTCTTATGTCAACAATATTAGGCTCCAGAAACAATTTTATCGCACTATTAATCGCATAAACTGTAGTTGTAATGACTTAAGGCCGGACCGAGACAATACCGAAGGATTATGGGTAATAAATAATCGACTTGTCACAAACGGGATTAGCTTCGGTTTTACCAGATTCGATTTACTGCAAGGGAAAAGCGAATAATTGATTTTCTTTAATCTAAATTTTACGACATAGCTTCCACAGTCACTTGAAAAAGTTGTAATACCCTAATTATAAGAAACAATGTGGTACATTGCAGAAGTTTTGAGATTTTTTCAGGAGAGACATTTATTAATTTCAAAGAAGTACAAAACTCTAATCCCCTTGAAAGTAGGGTCCTCTAACTTCCACGCACTTGTTGTATTGCTCCAGCCACTGCGTTAAGGCCCCATGAAAGTCATCCAAAGTGAAGGTGTCCAGGACCCTTGTCACCACCTCCCACATCTTCTCACTGTTTTCAAAACGACTGCCACTTCAGTTTGGGGAATAACTAAAAGTCGCAGAGATTAAGGTCTGGACAGAGGGATAGTTTTGAATGTCCATCAATCATTTCCCTGCTGTCATCATCTGTTCGTCACTGAGAGCCTTGGGAACAAATTTTGCACAAAATATTTGCATGTTCATATCTCCATGAATATTTCTGAGTACACTTGCTACACCAAATCCAAACTGTATGCTTATTGTCTTTATAAACACACGATGGTCTCTGGTCGTCATCCAGAAAACTGCGCATCTTCCCAATCAGCTCTGATGTTCTGACGTCCTTCACCCTCCAATATCTCTCACCGCATCTCTATCATCTTTGAACCTCTTGTGCCAGCGAAAAACAAAAGTACAAGTTAAACCATAAACAGTCTGGAGCATTTCATAAGTTTCTGTAACATTTTTGCTCAGTTTAACATAAAACTTTATTGCATAGCGAGCTTCCAAATTGTCTTCACGTCCTGACTGCGTTCTGAAAAAGAGCTGGTGTCTAGTAGGATGTTCAAAGAGCTGTTACAACTGTCCCATTTAATCTAGAATAACAAAAGTTGGCAGGTCAACTTATTAGATGTATCGTAATGATATACTAAAATTAAAATAATGTAGGACTATTATAACTGTCTCTCCTAAAAAAGACCTCAGAGTGACTGGAATGCACTTGGTAATTCTCATACATTATGCAAGTCAATGTTTTCGCAATAAACTAACCAACCGATATTAGTAACATTTTCAGGCTACCTTATATGAATAATAAATTGCGTAAGTTTCTCCTTATATGTCCTTATTAAAATCCCAAAGTTGTAAGTCATATGTAATGAAATAGGTGCGCACATTAATATTAACACGAAACTTAACCTCTCGTATTTATAATTACATTTTATTCACTCCAACACTTTGAGCTTGTAGGTGTTCGACCCCGCTGCATTTCATCCAAAATGTTTACCTCACATTCTCGTCTGTGATAGCCCAACTCCTCAACACTGCGTTGTGTGGTTATATAACACCCTGTAATACGATTTTTCGCATGCTTACAAACGGGGTGCAGCTGTGATACCACGTGATTCTGTACTCGGGCGTTGGGAGGTCTATTCATGCCAACCATACAAACGCGCACGATACATAAAATATTCATTTGAGTAATACAAATACATAAACGTTATTTTTAGTGGATACCTATATTTGAAAAGAAAAATATGCGCGCACCGACATTTTTCTTTAGACGAAAATAAATGATTATACTGATTGAATTAAACGGAGCGTCTGCTAAAATACGAGTATCCACTAAAAATAAGGTTTAATAAAATTTGTCGGATTCCTAAATAAAAATTCACCACTTCTTTATATATATATATATATATATATATATATATATATATATATATATATATGTGTGTGTGTGTGTGTGTGTGTGTGTGTGAAAAGTGTATATAAATATAAATAAATATATATATATATAATTATTTATATATTATATGCGCGGTACTTATTAGAAAGCGCTCAATATCAGAGATAAAGCTAACATATTTGGTTGGATTGATGTGAGTTTGTGACCCTGGATTTCACGCTTTAGCGATCGTCAAACTGATTAATGTTTTAAAAAATTTGGGTTTATGTAGATTGCGTGTATTGGTGTTATTGTGGAAGTGGTGGGGGAAATTTCGTCGTTTTGTCATTCATCGTACTAACGCAAACATCGATGTATGCAGACACATATACATACTTGGTCGTCCGTCGGGACTCATACATATATAAACATATGTGGGCAGTTTCGGCTATGACACATGTATGTATACGGGTGGTGTTATGTCTATACATACGCATTGGTATGTTGAAATGTTGAAATTTAAACATTGGAAGTGTAGCGGAAATGTCTCGTGAATGTATACATGTCATATTATGTATTTTCCCGCTGAAAAATATTTCCTCGCATGTATGTATATGCGTGTGGTGGGGTTTGTGTAAAATTATGATAGGTATATATATATATATATATTAAGAATTAGTGGATTTATTTTTAATCCGATATTTTTATTACTTTAAACGTTATTATAGTGGATATTTTGTACACACACACAGACACATATGAGATAACGATGTATACTTTTATATATCAAGAACAGTATTGGCAAAATTGTATGTCAAATAGAAAAAAATTCCTTGTGACGCGTTTCGTCCTTCAGGACTTTATCTGATAAAGTCCTGAAGGACGAAGCGCATCATGTTCACAAGAATTCTATTTATTCAGAAATTAAATTAACACACAATTCAGAAACGAACACATGAATAATGTGTGTGTGTGTGTGTGCGTGCGTTTGTGTGTACAGAGGAAAAACCACAATTTTGATTTTATAAATGCCACACTCATACAAAAAGAAAATAATTCACTCAGATGGAAAATCCTCGAGAGTGCCACCACTGAATATTATACAAATATTAATCTACACCCAAGTTTTTTTCCCAATATCACCTTTCTTAACAGAATTACTACTCTCCCAAGCCAACGTACACAACAAATATATCAAAAAATCAAAAGAAAACGTTTGAATCCGTCAACACAACAACATACTGAAGCATTAAGATTATACATGCAGGCAGTGTAAATGATGCGAGCCGAGTTCAAATTACGAGCTAGTCAATTGTGTTCACTTTCATACTACTACCCTAATAAAGGCATGAATCCATCTCTTCTCGTTCCAGCTATGGGTTAAATAGCAGCGTAGACGAGAATCTCTAGTTTTAGATGACAACCAATCAAAAGGAATGAAAACTGAATTTTGAAGCGTGGTGATGACAACGGAGAGTAATCTTTATCTAGAAGTCTGGCAATTCACAGATAATAATAAAATGAATCTGAGGAAAGCCATGATTGCTTACGTCCTGAAGAAATACGTCTTCATCTTTTTTTAAATTGAAATAATGACTCTTTCATCATAGCATTCATTTCTACAAAATTAGAAAGAATTCAGTGCTGTTTAAATTTTTGTCTTATTTCGCAAGTTAATTCAAAACTTTGAATTTTCCTTTTGCATGAATAAATCTGCAGTTGTTTGACAATACAAAGTCTTATATGAATATCCTTTCAACTCTCGGTGTTTTCTCTCTCTACTTTGATTGTTAATTTCAAGTGTAAGAAATGAAGGTAAATGTAACAGTAACGAATCTTCCTCGTAGTTTCGTAAAGTCGGCCGCTGCTGCTAAAACATAAAAAATACGAATTATTTATTGCTAAATAGAAATATTGAGTCAGATTTCGATCAATTATTAAAGGCAACCATTAACTTCTCGACATACTTATTCATTCATATTTATCTGTCTATTTCTTATTTATTTAGGTGAACCGAAATACCAAGTAACCAAAAGTGGTAAGTTTAAAACAATCTCATAAATTTATTGTTTGAACTATGCAAGAGACATGATCGCCATAATCTCTCTTATAGTAAAAAGCATTTATAAGCCTTACTCAATCTTTATAATTTATGTCCAGTAAAAAATAATATAAGAACAGTGTTAGCCGGTTTTAATGAAATTTGTATATATATATATATATATATATATATATATATATATATATATATATATATATGTGTGTGTGTGTGTGTGTGTGTGTGTGTGTGTGTGCGTTTGTGTGTACAGAGGAAAAGCCACAATTTTGATTTTATAAATGCCACATTCATAAAAAAGAATATAATTCACTCAGATGGAAAATCCTCGAGAGTGCCACCATTGAATATTATACAAATATTAATCTACGCCCAAGTTTTTTTTTTCCCAATATCACCTTTCTTAACAGAATTACTACTTCCCAAGCCAACGTACACAACAAATATATCAAAAAATCAAAAGAAAACGTTTGAATCCGTCAACACAACAACACAAACAATATTTCTACACGTGAAAATATTCCCTTCAAACATAAAGTATTTGACGTAATTTTCCAGTTGACCATATGAATATACAATAGCGTCTCTAAATTCTTCTAGCTGCTAACGACATTTTGTTTATTGTTTATGGATACTTTGTCTGAATAAATTCATTTCGCATCGGCTAAAACTAGTTTTCCTATTGTCTTTTTTCTTTATACATATTGTATTTTTCTACAGATTAATTCTGAGATTTTTTTACACAGACACACACACACACACACATGTATATATATATATATATATATAAATATATATATATATGTTATGACTTAAATAGCAAGGATATTTTTACAATCATGTTCACATTGTACAAGGCCCAAGAGCCACTCGCGATAGAGGGTTACAGAGTAAGAGGTAAGATTGAGTTTATGGGGATATATAGGGAAGATAACGGTTAAGGTTGTAGTTATTGGGGAAGTATTTTATTGGGAGTTGATTCCACAATGTAACAGTTCGTGGCGAGAAGCTGTTCAAGTGAAACTCACATCTCACCTATGGAGTGATAGTAGTTCGCTACAATGTGAGTCTTTGCCGTGATGGTTAGAATTGGTGGAACTTAGGAATGTAGTTCGTCTGAGCACTTTCCATGGAAATAACGATAACAGGCTTGTGACATTTCATCGGTGGGAAAGAAGTTCTAGAGTGGAAAATAATTCTTCACCCACAAGGATGTGGAAATACTTTTGGACTCTACCGAGATTGGAAATTGAAAACTAGTCAGCTCTTGTTCCTATATGGTAGCAGTAATCAATTTTGGACCTGATCTCACTCTACAAGCTACAGGATAGGAGTCAGGTAATTCAGTTCTTCTAGAAATGGAGTTGGTTCTCCACAAGCCTTCCCCATTATAATTAAATTCTATATACGGGATAGTCTAAGGACTGAACTGTTGAACACTTATACTCTGAAAACGACGACATAGTCTATCAATATATATACCGATGTGCGTGCATTTATGCGTTAAGGTAAATATACTAAAATTTATATAAAAAAATATTACAATATTTTACAGATTCCTGTTGGATAATGCATTAGAAGTAATCATTTTAAAGCGAGACAAAGTTAAACATGGCCTACTATACTTACCGTTATATATATATATACATATATATATATATTATTTCTGATTATTTCTATAGCTACAAATAACCGGATCCACGAATATATATACTAGACCCTAGAATAATTTGAAATATGATTGTTACTGCCTACCTAATAAGCAAAAGGATAATAGAGTTGACCTTACTATCCATAATGCACCATGGAAAAGCATATATAAACAGTTGAGGAAAGACACAACACACATGGCCAGAAGACGGCATTGAAGCATGAAACAGACTGTCGCCGTACGTGTACTTTTATATTTTATAGTTATATACGCACTATCTCTGATAGTGAGCGTTTTTACCTGTAAATATATCATACCTTAAAACTATACTTCTATCATATATATATATATATATATATATATATATATATATATATATATATAAACTGTGCATCACGCTTTATTGCAGGTCACTTTTTATTGATATTTTGAATATTAAACGTTGTAAAAAAGTGAAATTTGGTACACTGAAAGATTCTACGTAGGTAAGTATGAAGCGAAAATTTCAAATGTATTGATACAACGTTATGTTAAGTTATGTATTTTAAAGTGTTTTAACTGTCACACTTTATTACAGGTGTACAAGAATACCACTGAAACGACGTCTGACAGTTACAGAAAAGACACGGATTGTTTCAGGTCTCGCAGAAAATTTATCTTTGGGTGAATTAGCCAAAGAGCTTGGTCGGGATATTAGAACATTAAAGTCATATGTGGAAAATCCCATAACCAAACCAAGACAAGATAAACGAACGAGAAAAAATGTATCCCAGTGTGATAAAATACGTAGATAAGTGAGAAAAACCTCGGTAGTACAAGTGCTCCCATGTTTGAACGTTCTGGGGTTGCTCCTTTGTCTAGTAGCACCCTGTGTAGGATTCTTAAAGAGACTGTAAGAAGTGTTAAACCCATCGCTAGACCCAACACCAAAGAGAAGCGTATTGCTTGAACACAGAAAAATATGAAGACCAGTTTTCAAGATGTTCTCTTCACGGATAAGGCCAGAGCTACACTAGATGGCCCTGATGGATGGGCCAAAGATTGGGTGCCATTTTGTGCCTCTCATCCGCATCGAATTCGACGTCAACAAGGAGGTAATGGTCTTTTGGGATGGAATCATAAGAAATGAACTTGTCGGACCTTTTCGAGTTTCAAACTCACCAGAAATTCCTACACCGCATTTCTGGAGGATAATTTTTCAGCATGGTTGAATGATTTGCCACACTCACATAGACGGCGTTTGATTTTATGCATTTTGTACACCTGCAACAAAGCGTAACACAGTTGAAAACACTTTAAAATACATAACATGACGTTATCATATCAATACGATTGAGATTTTCACTGCATACTTACCCACTTAGGATCTTTCAGTGTACCAAGTATCATATTTCTCGTGCAAGCATAAGAAGCAAGATTCATTTAAAGATTTACAAGTTCTAGCTTTTTTTAATACTTTCTATTTTACCGTAGGAGTTTTATTAACCTCTTTTAAATTCCAAAAAATATTTGGGAAGAGTTGTTCTATTTTTATAAGTGTTATTGTTGAAAGATAGTATATGTTGGTACCAACTAGTTTTAAAAGAATTCTTCGTACTCCCTATATAAAATTTTTCAACAGTCGGATTTTCTATTATAGAAATGTTGCTTAGATAATAAGAGAGTTGGTCAAACATTTGTTTTGCAATGGGCAATCGTTAGAATTTCTGCAATTACATTTGTTAGTATTATCGAAATTAGTTACCTTGGATTTTCCATCATTACCAATATAAAAACCTGAGTATTGATGGAAATTCTAAGGTAAAATGGAAAGCATTAAAAAATCTAGAACTTATAAATACTTAAATTAACTTTGCTTCTTATGCTTACATAAGATATTGGAAATTATTAGATTTGCTGATAAAAAATACTCTATTAAACTAAATAATTGAATTAACTGTAAATTGCAGACATAGTTTACGTTTCACCATACAAAATGGTTAAACTTTGAATTTGGTAGTAATATTTCATATGATTATAATTAGTAAGTAAATTGCGGTGTACCTTCTATGAGTAATTATTTTATTTTGTTTATTTAGATTTAATATAGCTATGTATTACTGTCTAGTCGATATTATTAACATCTCATATGGATGTTCCACATTTTTAAAAAATTTTAAACGGTTTAATTGTATTCGTTGGTTTCTTAAGCCTTTTAATTTTCAACTACAAAATCTATGCCACAATTAGCTATACGTTTGACTATCTTTCTACCCCTCTCAGCATTTTATGGAAAATTGAACAAGTCATATTTATCCACAATTATGATACAATGTTGTCACTCACTTGTCGTTTGAATTAATTTCATGTCTTCCATAAATGACCTTGTCTAAGATTCCATTTCAAGCTACATTATCCCATGATCTAAATTTTCTTTGTTCATGTTAATTTCGAATTTAGCGTAGCTCTGACAACTGATTGATTAATCACAATAAAACCACAAGCCTCATTTTAATTCTAATCTTAGTTTTTCTCGTCTTCTGTTCTCTTTTGAAAAAGAGAAGGTATTTTATTTTTGAAATCAAAAATAATTGTTTACTCACCAGTCATTTACCATCGCCTGAAGAGACACAACTTAGTACCGAAACACGTAAGCTATTGCGTAGCGATTCTTAACATGTTTTTGTTTTAATCTCCTATAATAAAAAGATATAAAGCTCTACTATGCATTGATCTTGTTTTTTAAATTAAATGCTATGGACAGTGTAATTATACACCATTTTTCTTATCTTAGACTGGATATATATATATATATATATATATAGAGAGAGAGAGAGAGGGAGAGAGAGAGGGAGAGAGAGAGGGAGAGAGAGATCATATATTGGTTGCTGTGAAGTGAATAATGGCTATTCTACAAAGTATTAAATGAAGATTATGTATTTTTTTGTATCGTACGAATACATTTTTCACCTATTAAAATGTATATTGGGATTTATTTCTATTAAATCAAATTTCTTCTGCTATCTATGCTTATTTAGTTTTTGTGCATCAATATACTGTTAATTATATGAAAATTATATTTATTCATTAGTTGGAAACACAATAAATTAAAAATTTGCATGTGTACGAATATTTGTTTCCCTGACTGTATATTTCATATATATATATATATATATATATGGGAGGTAATCCAATGAGAGCTCTCTTTCCCATAAAACTCATTTGGATACGTCTGCATATTTTCCACTTTTTTTTTCTCTTTTTTTTCTCTTTTTTTCCTTTCCTCACTATTCCTACATATCACTTCCGGTTTTTTTTTTTTTTTTTTAACCATATAAATAGGTCAAGGTTAGGTCACTCCTGCTACCCCAATATAAAGCTTATTTAAGAGAGATATAAATTTAACCCTTCCTATACTCTGTATTGTCTCTTTAACTGCCACTTTCACCCTCCCTGTTTAATTACAAAAATTACACTACCCATCAATTTCTAATCCCATTTTTCCTCTCATTTCATTGTTGGGAGTGT